CATGGTAGGGCATGACACGCTCTTCTCCGACGGGCTGATGGCGCTGCTGGAGCCAGAGGCGTGGAATGCCACCTCCCGTGTGTACTCGCTCCGGCCGCTCAAGTATGACGCTTGGACGGTGAGCGCCAACCTGCTGGGGACCTTTGACTACGTGACGCAGTACAACACAGGTGTCCTCCAGACGCGCGAGATCCACTTTGGAGACCAGAACGAGATCACCTCGATCACGGACGTCTCATGGAACGGGCGACGCAGGCTGCAAAAGTGGATCGCGACACCGATCAACGCCACTGAGGGCACCTTCGAGCGGTGGAACCGAGTCGATGGCGCTGGCGTAGAGTCGGCGACAAGCGTTTCAGATGGCGGGTACGACTATACCGGGGTCAAGCTCTACGACCGCTCGGGCGCCTACCCCTCTCACATCGCCGAGTGGCAGCGTGACGCCTACCCTTGGGTGTATGACTGCACTTGAGAGGCGCCGCCCGAGACACTGTGTTACTACAAGTATTACTAGCGGCAGCGGTGTTGAGTACCGGATCTGATTGTTGTCTTCTAAGACTGAGGGCGCGCACATCCCTTACCGCGCTTACGATGTGCGACGCCTACACTCTACTAAACAAGAGCGACACACACGTACGACACAGGCTGGCACACAGTGCTCTGCTTGACCCTATAATGTACCCTCTCACACAGGCTCTCGCATGTGGATGGCCCCGCACGCATGCGTCACGACTGAGTCACGTCACACGCGCAGAGGGGAGACGTATGGACGCCCCGCTCTGTCTCGGAGCATACGGGCGATACGTAGCTGCACACAAATAGACGTAGTCCTCCTCAACACCTTTGCATAGCAAGCTATTGAACAAGCCTCCCAGAGGGCGGCGGCGGCACGGGTGAGGGCCGGCCACGACGCGGCCGGTCGCGGAGAGGTACACTGCACGCCTTTCCGCAGGGCGCGATGCGACTCAAAGATGACAGCGCGCTGTCGCTAGCGGCCAAGCGGCTCTGTGGTGAGCTCAAGCAGAGAGAGCATTTCCGCGGTCGAGAGGTGCTCGCCGCTGCCAAACGCAAAGGCGTGCGGCTCGGCGTCCAGCCGCTGAGGTGCCGGCGAGTTGATGGTCGTCTCCGTCTCCGACCCCAAGTCATCGCACGCCGTGCCGACGTCGAGCTCGTCGAGCCAAAGGAGCGGGAGCTCGGCGCCAAAGTCGTCCGTGTAGAAGGTCAGCGCGGGCGAGCACGGGTCCGCCTCGCTATCGACCGACTCACTCTCGACCGGCTCGCTCCTCTCGGGCTCGCTGCTCGCGGGCTCCGCTGCCGCCTTTTTCGCCGGTGGCTCGGCCGCTGACGGCGACGTCGTATTGACGGGCCTCTTTCGTTTGTGCAGCCGCTGGCGGCGGTTCTGAAACCACACCTGCGCCATCGGTTTCGAAGGTTCAGACGCTGCGTGGAGCGGGCGGTCCGCTCGCAGCTCGCGCCTGCACTTGGCGCGGCTTCAGGTTGCACTCCTCCGCGAGACGTCGAGTGAGGAACGAATCGGGCGTGGCCTTGAGGTCGAACGTGGCTTCCAGGACGGCGCGCTGCTCCGGCTTGAGTGACCTGGTGTAGCGAGGAGGGCGGTGGCATCAGTGGTCAGCGGTGGCGAGGGCGGTGGCGTCGAGGGCGGAGGTGGAGTGGGCGGTGGCGGAGAGATGGTCCTTGTCGATGGTCGCATCGGTCCTCCGTCTGATGAGCAGGAAGGTTTGCCGACAAGGCACAAGCGAGAGGAAGCTCTCAAAAAACGAGCTTCGGCGCCAAGTGTTCGGAAGGTTGGGGGCCCGATATGCAACAGACGCGCCGCCGCGCCCAAAGCCCCCGACATGAACGCGTCCCAAAACGAAAAAAAAGGCCGACGAACCCCGGCGCCGTACGCAAACCAACCCCTGCCTAGACGAGTACAGCTAAAGAGAGTACCCGGGGCTCCCCACCCATCAACCCCTGCCTAGACGAGTACAGCTAAAGAGTACCCGGGGCTCCCCATGCGGGAGGGGGGCCGTGAACATCTTCAGCTTGTGAGCCAGGAAAAGGGATGTACGCAAACCTACCGTCCTGGACGCGCCTCTCGCCACTCTCGGATCTGCCTGCGCAGCATGTGGTGCGGGAAGAGGCCAGTGTTCTCGAGCTCCGCGCCCGTCATCGGGCTCGTCGACTTGGTCGCGAGCCAGCGCTTCATCGCCGTCCGCTCGTAAGCATGCCCGTCCGCCGCCATCACCGGATCGCTCATGACCTCGGTCGTGATCGGGCAGATGAAGTCGGCCGGCGGCTCCTCCTCCTCCACCGAAGGTGGCCTCTCTGCAGCCAAAGAGGACGACCCCTGCTCGTCGGGCGCCCGCCTCTCCTCCTCCAGCCTCGCGCTCACCTCGAGCGCTGCCGCCAACTCAGCCGCCTCCGCAGCCGCCAGCGCTGCCTCATCCTCAGGCTCACGCGACGGCCCAGCGCCGCCCCCGCCGCCCTTCCCCCTCTTCTTCCCCTTCTTCCCCTTCTTGCTCTCCCTGGCGCGCTCCCCCTCCTTCTCCTCCTCTTCCTCCGCCAGCAGCGCCTCGGCATGCCGCGCCGCCTCCGCCTCTGCCGCCGCTCTCATCTCCGCCGCCGCTGCCGCCGCCACCGCCGCCGCCGTCACTCCCGCCGCCGCCTCGCCCGAGGAAGCGCCACCCGCGACGGAGGTGGGCGATGCCTGCGCGTGTGAAAACTTGGGGCTCACACCCGTCTGGTTGTAGAGCAATGGACCCTTCACCTGCGCGCACACCTGCTCCACCTCCTGGATGCTCGCCGCGCCCTCGACGAAAGCCATGTCTGCGCCGGCCTCGAGATACATATTCACCCGGTCGACGGCCTCCTGCAGCGCCACCGCCTCGCGCTGGCTCGCAGTGACCTCCGCGATGTGCTGCCGGAAGGCCTCGACGCACGCGCTGTGGCCGTCCTCCTTGGCCAGCCGCAGCGCGGACTTGCCGTTCCCAGAGCGCAGTGCCGCGTCCGCCCCCGCCTGCAGCAGGCGGAGCACGACGGCGGGGTGGCCTTGGCCGGCGGCGTACATCAGCGCAGTGCCGCCGTCCTGCTTGTTGATATTCGCGCCGCGCTGCAGCAGCAGCTCGACCGCCCGCTCGCGTCCCTCCTGGGCGGCGGTCATCAGCGCGGTGCGGCCGTCACTGTCCTGCATGTTGATCTCCGCCCCGCGCAGCAGCAGCAGCTCGACCACCCGCTCGTGGCTGGAGTAGGCGGCGTACATCAGCGCAGTTTCGCCGTCCCTGTCCAGCATGTTGATCTCCGCCCCGCGCAGCAGCAGCAGCTCGACCACCCGCTCGTGGCTGGAGTAGGCGGCGTACATCAGCGCGGTACAGCCTTCGCTGTTCTGCGAATCGACCTCCGCGCCGCGCTGCAGCAGCAGCCCGCTCGTGGCCTTGGCTGGCGGCGCCCATCAGCGCGGTGCCGCCGCTGTCCTGCAATTCGATCTCTGCACCGCGCAGCAGCAGCAGCTCGACCACCGCTCGTGGCCCTCCTGGGCGGCGTACATCAGCGCGGCGCCGCCGTTCTCGTCCTGCTGGTTGATCTCTGCACCGTGCTGCAGCAGCAGCTTGACCACCCGCTCGCGGCCGTTGTTGGCGGCGTGCAGTAGCGCGGTGTCGCCTTTGCTGTTCTGCAGTTCGACCTTCGCGCCGCGCTGCAGCAGCAGCTCGACCACCTTCTCGTGGCCGTTGTCGGCGGCGCCCATCAGCGCGGTGACGCCGTTGTCGTCCTGCTTGTTGACCTCCGCGCTCATGGCAGAGAAGAAAAATCTCGGGCGAAAAGAAACCCGCGGCATCGTACAGCTGCGCTTCGCGTCCGACGGCGCCTTCGCCGGACACGACGAGGCGCAGCCACAGCATCCAAGCTCCAGCATCCACGGAACAAGAGATTAGGGCAGCGGCAGCATGACGGCGGCCTCTGACCTCCTGGAGGCGTGCTTGCCGCTCCGCCGGCGCTCCTACGCCACCACTGCCGAGGCTTATCGGCAAGCGTACACTGATGTGGCAACCACGCTCCCGCTCTTTCCGCCGCCTATGCGGCACATCGATCGACCGCTACCGCCCCATTCCGCGACGGCACCCTTTCTGTGCACCTCGGGTGGTCGTCTCGAGCGCGGGACGCCCGACGACGTCGATGAACTGCTTGCAGGCTACCTCGTGAGTGGAGTGTCGCCCGCTGCGCCCAACATCGACGTGGGAGGCGAGACGGTCGAGGTTTCGTCCAACGGCCATGCGCGCCGCGCGCTTGCGGCAGCCTCGGCCGAGGGCAAGAGCTATTGGGCCGCGTGCCGAGCGCCAGTCGACCACCCGAGCTGGTGGCCGGTGCGAGCTGGCGCCAAGGCCGTGCCCGGGTTCGAGCACCTGATCTGCGGCGAGGGCGCCTCGGGCATTGGCATGCACCGCGACCGCTACCGCGAGGCTGAGGAGCCCGATCGACTCGTGTCCACCTACCTCAGCTTGAGCCGCGGGAGGAAGCACGTCATCCTTCTCCCGCCGACGGACGAGGGCGCGGCTGTGGCGCAGCAGCTCGGGGGCGAGGGGTGCGACGACGCGTCCGGTGAGAGACGCGGAGGAGGGCGCTCCTGACGCCGCGCTGTGACACCGCCGCCCGCCGCTCGTAGGCCGCGCCAGCTCTCAGCGAGCCTGCTTCCCGCTGCTTCCGAGCCCCGACTTGCTCGAGCGCGTCCTCGCCGCCGGCGGCTTCTGGTTCGACCTGGAGGCTCCGACCTCCGCGGGCGGAGAGGCGCTCGAAGGAGAGGAGGAGAGCGAGGAGGAGGGCGAGGAGGAGGGCGGCGAGGAGGAGGGCGACGAGGAGGAGAGCGATGAGGTCCTCTGCCTCTTCATGCCCGCTGGATGGTGGCATTGGCTGGTCGCCGACAGCGAGTGGCACGTTGCTTGGTCGGGAAGCTTCTTCCCCACACAGGGTCGGGCAGCGGGTGGTGGCGGAGAGCGGGCGCGGCACCCGGCCAGGCGCAGCCGAGCTGCGGCGCGCAACTCGGAAGGAGCCGTTCGGAGGGAGCTGGACGCACTCAGCGTAAACGACAGGGGAAGGCCGCCAAAGCGTGCCCCGCGCTGGTCCCGCGGATTTTAAAATTTGCCGTTTTGCTTTTTTTTGGAACAACGACGCGCCAGGATTCGAGCAAGACTCCCTCCGCCGCGCCGACCGACGCGGGGCTCACGTGCGGACCGCCGTGAAGCGTGTTGTTTGACTAATGTCGCACATGTTGGGAGACTGATGGGTCGAAAGCACAGGTCGTCAATCGACACGTCGCGCCTTTGCCGATTCTCACACCGAGGTTTCTTGGGTGGCGCGGCCCAGTCTTCACAACGAACCTGGTTTAGGTACCCTACTAGCCGGCCAGTCGGAGGAGGGCAACTCCGTGCACTGACCGTCGGCCGCCAGAAATTACGCCTGCGTGGATCGGCGATGCTTCCGCTCGCGGCCATCGCCAAGCTCTCTCTCCTGCTGGCCCTGCCCGCCACGCACGCCGTTGCCGTCTGCGGCGTCGACGTCCCTCACGCCAAGGTGAGCCCTGCGAGCCGCGCGCTCGACAGCTCCGACTGGCCCGAAGCCTTTCCGTACACGGCAAAGGATCTCACGCCGATGATGGCCGGCAACGACGGCTTCTTCTACTTCTTGCCCAAGTTTGTTCAACACGCCGGCGAGGAGTGCCGCGACTCGCTCACACGCTTCTACGAGGCGGTGCTTCCGGCGAGCGGCGAGGGCGACGTGCTCGACCTGTGCTCGTCTTGGACGTCGCACTACCCATCGGGTTGGAGGCCCTCGCCGCCTCGCCGCTGCGTCGCTCTCGGCCTCAACCCACTCGAGCTTCTCGCCAACCCGAGCAAGACGGAGTGGCGCGTGCAGGACCTCAACAAGGACCCGCAGCTACCGTACGCAGACGCCGCCTTCGACCTGGTCACAAACTCGCTGTCGGTCGACTACATGACGCGGCCTCTCCAGACTCTGTCTCGAGACAGAGCACCGCGACCTCTCCCCACAATGAGTGGCGGACTCGTCCTCGTAGGCAGCGCATCTCTTCTCACACCACCGCGAGCGTATGATGAATGGCCCGTGATGAATGGCACATGACGTCTGCCATTAGGCCGCTCGAGCTCTTTGAGGAGACGCACCGTGTCCTGCGGCCGGGCGGGCTCGCTTGCATGGCCTTCACCAACCGCTGCTTCCCGACCAAGGTGACACACACTTGATGACTAATTACGTTACTTGCGGCCATGGCCAACCGCTGCCTCCGACCATATGTTGCGTGATTACTCTTTATTATTGATTTCATGTTCTCCGTGGGCATGGCCCTCACCAGCGGCTAAATCGCGGCCGCAGGTTGTGCCGATCTGGACGGCGCCCTTCACCGAGGCTGCCTGTAGCCGAGACACGCCGAGAATCGCCCATGTACTCGGGCCGGGGAGAGAAGGCGACGGCGCATCAAGGCTGAGAACGGTTGATGCCCCATCCCAGGCGAGCCACGCGAAGATCGTCGGCGCATACTTTCGCTACTCGGCCGATTGGGCGGAGGTGGGCGTCGCCGACGTGAGCCCCGACGGCTGGGTGGGGCAGCGGGACCCGATGGTGGTGGTGGTGGCGAGGAAGCGGGGTTGACACGCGTCATGTACTGCTACGGTACCTTGTAATGTTTATTTACACTTATGTCTCGCTGTTTGCACATGTGCACGCGTGCGGACGCCGACCGGAGATACGCTATACGGCTTTATTTCCTAGCTCAAGACACTCAAAAACACAATCCCCCCCCCCCCCCGCCCGCGCCCCCCCGGCGCCCCCGCGCGCCCCCCCCGCCTTCCCCAAAGCCCAATAAAGCCGTATTGCATAACGAGATACCGCGGGGTCGGCGCACATACGGCTTTAAACCGTAATCCGTGAGGCTCGATCTAGTTCCATTTCAAAGTGGCACATCTCGCGGGCGTAATTACAAACCCTTGATTTGACCATTTGCTAGGGTTGTCAAACGTTAACTTTGAGCCTAACAGTTGCACTATTGTTGGCTGAAATCCTCAACGTTGTTCAAGTGTTCTCCCCAGCCCAAGCTGTTACTGTTTGTTACTGTTGTTACTGTTGTTCAGTGGTCAGCAAGCAGAAAACGCCAAAAACCCGGGTAAAACCCGAAAAACCTGGGTTTTCCCGGGTATTTTCGGGTATTACCCGCACTGGACGCTGGAGATCGTCGTGGGTCACTGCCAGGCCTTCCTTATTGTTGTTCAGCCGGCCTAACGTTAGCTACTGTTGTTGGGGAGCCCCACTGTTGTTCTGTTGTTACTGTTAACACTAGCAACACTGTTCAGCTCCTAACGTTTGACAACCCTACCATTTGCGCCATTTTGTACCTCTCGGTGCCTTATGATGTATCTTATTCCGGGGCCCGTGTGCGGGGAGCGAACCTTAGCGACCGCCCAGAAGCTTTCTGAGCGACCCAATCGGGCCGGGATCATCAGCATATGTCCCCTCCACAACATCGTGGGCGTTTGAGCGGTATTTGAGGACCACCGCCACTCTGAAGTTCGGCCGGGTGGTCTGCAGACCCCCCCCCCGGAGCAGCAGAGGCTCCGTGGGGTTGAAAAGTCGACGCTGGGAGTCGCACTCGTCAAACCGTCGCAACACCACGCGGTCCGCACGTACCGCCCACATCCCCTCCACCACTGAGAATTCTTAAGGCGCAGATCGACCGCCGGGCCGCGTAGCCGTCGTTAAGGAGCGGTTTTTGGAGCCGTACGAAGAGGTCCCAGACGGGCGAAGATGCGGTTTTTCGACGACCACACGCGATGTGGTATCAGCTTTTTGCTAAAAACGGGCCGCCTAGTGCAGCATCACTAGTACAACACGCAACCACACTGAAAGCTCCACACTAGCCGGTATAGGCGAGCCCCGGCGGCCTCACCGTCGCCGCTCGCGGCGGAGCCGACGGCGGAGCCACGGGCCGGTGCGACCTTTTGGGGGGACATGAGCTCGCCAGGACGTCACCGATGGCTCGGCGCGCCTCTTCCCGCCAGCGCGGGACGGCCTGCCTACAGGAGGGAGGGGGGGGAGACGGAACTGAGCCCTAGGTTCGTGATCCTGTCGCCGGCAAGGGCTGGGAGAGGGGCGGCAAGCGACGGGCGGGTGAGCGACCTTTTGAGCGCCCATGAGCCGGCAGGGACGCCGGCGATGGCTCGGCCAGCTCCTTCCCGGCGGGTTCTCGTCGGGCCGTGCCTGGTCGGCGGGCTCGGGTGAGGTGAGCGGGCCCGGGAGTCGCATCTGCGCGTCCCCGGCAGTGGCAGTGTGGGGGTAGATGGGAAGTGCGGAGATGGGAGGCAACGCGCCTGTTTGATGGCCGCACGAGGCAAAGTTGGGCGCTCCGAGCGTCTTCTCGGCGAGAACGAACGGGCTGTGCATCGTCGGGGGGGTGACTGAGAGGGAGGTGCCCGTGGTCGTGCGCGCACTTTGTCGGCCGCGCGCGAGAGGTGAATACTATGTGTGAGGCGCGCAGGAGGCGAGAGTGGGCGCGCCGGCGGTCGAGCCGCCGAACAATTCGACGTCGCGCAGCTCCGCGCCGGCGGGCACGACCGAGCAGATGCTGTCGGCGGCGGCGGTCACGCGACGAGCGAGAGCCGCAGGGGCCCTCTGAGAGCCAGGCAGGCGCCGAAAAGCGACGTGAGTGGCGGTCGCGATCAGCCACCTGTGGGCGGTCATCGGGGTGGCGCCAAGCCTCAGCGAGCTGGATCCGGGAAGGGCAAGGGGTCGCGCGGGCCCTGTCTGCAGCAGCAGTGCTAACTAGAACGACAAAATTCCGGATGGACCGGAGAGTGTCTACATTCTCGAGGCACCGTTCTCGGCCCGGCCGGAAAGCTGGCTGGTGGTCGCGCGCGGCGCGTCAGCGCCACTCCGACTGGTCGGGCACCTCGGCTGGGTCCATCGGCAAGAGGCCCGCGCCGTCGGCCAGCCCCGCGAGCGCATGGGCGGCCGGCGCGAGCGGAGAACGACGGGCCAAGATCGGCTGGTTTGGCACGAAAATCACAGCTTGTGCAGAACCCTGTGCAACGCTGGCATATACAGACACAACAAGACTAGCCCTAACTAACCCTAACCCTAACCCCTGAGGGAGGGTGTAGAGGATGAAGAGTGTAGAGCGCTGTAGAGATGTAGAGATGTAGAGCGCTCTGGAGCGCTGTAGAGCTGTAGAGCTCTACATCCGCCGCGGGACGATGTGCGTCCATCGTAGAGCGATGTAGAGGCGCTCTACAACGTGAAATCTCTGCAACAAACTCTACATGCACATGCACATCATCAACGGCGAACGAGCACAGCGGTGCAGCGCGCGAAGCGCGCGCGATCTCGTACT